TGTAGAAAACACTTGGCAAGATGAAAATATTGATGAACTGAATAGAATGTAAAACCAATACTGTTTGCTAAAAGAGAGATACTTTTATAACAGATCATCTCCTATCTCATTTCTTCGAATAATTAGCCAAACAAGGAACAGACAGATAGTAAACCTGTACTGTATCATGACGAGGGACACGAGGAAGTGGCTGCACCTTATACCCTTCAGAAGCCATAACTTCAGAAACCAGAAAGGTTCCCTGGAATTAAAGAAACATATGTGCTTCATTGCCACATGGTAGGGGCAAAAAACGAAAGGTTGGGGGGCTAAGAACGTTCAGCATGTACCTTAATTGCCTCACCAACCATTTGTGGTGCAAGGAACAAACCCTGGAAAAGGGCTCGCATAATGTCACCAGGGGTTGAGCCACAGTCAACCCCCAGACCAGGTGCTGAGAGACGAGCTGCTGCAGCATCAACCCACTGTTTTCTCCCCGCAACATATCCACCACATGGTGCAATAGTTCCACCAGGATTCTTTATCAAACTTCCTGCAATCAAATCTGCACCCTACCCCACCATTAATGAAACCATTGGACCTTCTCCAGAAAAAAAGCAATGTGAAATATTCCACCTACCACCATTGGAGGTTCAATGCCTTCCACAAATTCACCATAGCAGTTATCCACCATGACCAAGCAGTCAGGGTTCTGCATCTGTTCATACAAAAGAGATGGAACATTAACTGGGTGAAAATATTATGAATACCAAACTAACAAGAAAAACAGACATGGTTATTTGCATTAGTAAATAAACAAGACACTAACATATAAAAAAGTTTCAAGAAAATATCCCAGAACTCTTCTTTCTATATATTTTACTTCCTTGTTCCCCCTTTCAGACAGAAGTGAATAATGAATAAATACATTAATGAACTAAAATTAATATTCCACGCAAGGCAATAACAACACAACTTAACAGTGGTTCAAATGATCTGAATATTTAGAATAGTAAAAATGTAAGTTGCAACTTTATTTTGTCCAGATTCCAGTTGTCACCACAAGAAACCAAGCTTTCAATGATTAAGCCAAGCAAAAACCATGCAATGCAGAGGACAACATATTCAAGCCTAGACCTTCAGAGATTTTATTGCTGCAATAAGGTCACTTCAATGACAAATTCAATAGAGTTTCCATCATTTTCTCTGAATATAAAAAGATTACCTTTATTATCTTTATTGCCCTCCCTATCTCATTTACACTTAAACTCCGACGCCATGAATAACCACATGACCTTTGTATCAGTGCACATTTCGTGTGAGGTCTCAAAGCACCTGCAAGTGTATCCCAGTCCAGTCCACCATCTTCAGCAAGCTGTAAGAACATCAATCTGAGAAAGAATTCACAACCAGAAGCTGAAACTTATTCTGAATGGTTATTAGCAACATACAGGAAGTTCCCGATACATCACTCCAAAATCTTTCAGGGAACCCAGTTCATGAGAATCCCTCTTTCCAATAACTTCCTCTAAGGTGTCATAAGGAGCACCAGCCACTGCCAAAAGCTGACAATAATATTAATCCAGACCATATTCTGATTGGAAAAGCAGCTATTGAACATCATAAACTACCAAGATAATTAGCCAAGATAGCATACCTCATCCCCTGGCCTTAGAAAAGCAAACAGTGCACAAGTGATGGCATGAGTACCTGAGAAGAACTGGTGGCAAAAGAGCCAAGAGGATTAACAAGAATTAGTGGCAGCTATTAAGAACTCATAATATCCAAAGATACAATGGCAACATCTAACAGACCTGAGAACGCACTATTGCTGACTCAGCCCCAACAATTTCTGCAAATGCTTGGTCAAGTGCTTCTCGTCCCCCAGCTTCATCATGACCATAGCCAGTACACCCAGCAAAGTGCTGGTTACAAAATAAGCATAGCACCATGCCTCCAGCATTATTAACAGATTAAATAATTGGATGGTTGCTTTTAGAGATAAATATGCACATTATAACATGCCATGCATATACATGGATCGACACTTGTATGCTCCCACTTGTGTGTGTGTGTGTGAGCAAAAGATGCCTTAAAGATATGTTTAATAACACATTTAAGCAAGATATTGTTTCTCAACTGCAGGGAACATGTATCAGAAACATGAAAGCCAGGGGAGGTGATCAACCACTTTGAATAAAATGGGTGCTTACATGAGATCCAACCCGAGCATTTTGAAAAGCTTTGAGAACACGGGAGGAATTGCAAGCTACCAAATTGTCCACAGCTCTGAATTCTGAGTACAGTGAATCCACAGCTTTTGCAACCTGCAGTGCAGATAAAAAAAGCAACTCTAGGTGTTAGCACTACCAATGTTACAGCAGTCAAAACTTGAACTAGTACTGACACATCAAAGTCCATGAATACTTCAGTGCTTATAGCAAATGTAAGCGAATTTACATCAATGTCAAATGTTGATATTTCCAATAAAGCTTTCAAAGCTTGACACAAATGCTAGGCTACATAGTTAGCAATCAAAACTAGGAATTTGCGCTAACAATTCAATCTCTATGAATACTTGACTGTGCATCTTATTAGCAAGCAACAAGTTACAAGCTCTGTTTGATTGCCCAGTAAAAGCAGTTTAGTTCTCTACATTCCCATATTATCTCATAAACCGGACTCAGAATTCAAAAGATTCAACGTTGAATGCTCTTTACACTGCTTCTTCAATTAAGTCTTTCAGTTTAAAACTGAAAATAAAGTTCCTTAAAATTCCTTAACAGACATCCAAAAAGCACTAACTTGGTCCCATAATGGGTTCTTAACAAAACCAATTTTTTTTACTGTTTCCTAGGAAAACCAAAGCTTACAAAGTGTCTTCATTTCTCATAAAATAAGCAAAGAACTTTAACTGTTTACATATTTGCAACAATGGGTTCTTGTATTTACATATATAAATGGTTCCCATGATGAAAAAGGTTGGCCTTCTACTGAGTTTTTTAACTGCTTCTTGTTCATGTTCATTTTCAGCAACTAAAATAAACATTTCGAGAAAAGAAAGCAGAGTTTCTAGGATACGAATACCTCTGGGACAAAAGGGTGGTCACAATTAAAGCTTGAACGAATTGCTGTAGACCTGGGCATTGAAGATTTGAGAGAGTGCATGGTATAACCAGGTGTAGCGCAGGATAAGACCAACATCTTCAACGAGTTACTGTGGTTTTTTCAGAGTCTTCACAGATCTTCCTTTAAGATTTCCCTTTCCACTTTTTTAATAAGATAAAATAGGATAATATATAACAAATATTAAAATTGTCTCTCTACAGGGTAATGACACCTGTCCTGGATTACCAAAAAACCAGCCTTTAACTTCCCAATAACGCAAAATCCAATAATGTGAAGGTAGACTCTATCCAATCCCTTCAAAATCACCCATGATGTTAAAACTAAATCTAACACGTTTTGGAAGAATTAAAAGCAACTCATTAAATACAAAATAAATCAATTCCAGATTCAATTCAGCACAGATTATTTATTTTCCAGAGCACTTATTGCAGAAGAAAGGAGCATGAATGCATAAAGAGTACAAACGAAACTAAAATTAAATGACAATTATTGAATTAAATTAATTGAATTAATGGATTCTTAGAGAAGAGAGAGAGAGGTGGGTGATACGGATAGGATAGGTTTCCAGGTATTTATGCAGTTTTAAGAGTGAAGGAGACCTTGCGCCCCGAGAAGAAGAAAGAGAGGAATCTGGCGGCACGAGAAAGGGAGAAGAGAAGAAAAGAGGAGAGGGAAGGAAAGAGGGAGCCGTCGCCGGAAACGCCTAGGACGGCGAAGGCGACGGCGCCGGGGACCGAGATATGGAGAGAGGAGAAAAGGGTTAGCTGCTAGGGTCAGTGGAAGAAGAAGAAGGGAGAAACGGGGTTGGCTGTTAGGTTAAGATTTTATAGAAAGATCAAAGCCACGTCGTTTTGTTGGTTACAAAACACGAGCAGGTGGGTTGGATCCACCAAAGCCCAACCCGGATCAACTTTGCATGAATTAAATTTATGAAATTACTTATAAAAAAGGGTTAAGAATAAAAAATAAAACAATTAATGGAATAAAATTTAATAATCACTTACCAAAATTATTGAGGAATCCCAAGGTTATTTTCACAAGGTGGTTTAGTTCCAAATACTTATAAAAGTGTAAGATTAAAAAGAGGTAATTAAAATTGAAAATAATATATAAAATTTCATCATTCAAATTAAAAAAATTTAATAAGTGTAGTTATATTCATTTTATTTTAATAATTTTATAATATAAATTATGTAGATTATGAATAATTAATTACTTTCAATATGTTATATTTTCTCAATTCTAATTTTACTTTGTCATTAAAATTAATATAATTAACAAAATATTATTATATTAATATCATCATATATTAAAATATAAAAAGATTAAATATTTTTAAAAATTAAAAATTATTTAAATTAAAAACTTTTCTCTAACAACAAGGAATGAATAAAATTTTTTAAAATCGATATTTTGAAATAATTATCTCTAATTTATTATTACTACTATTATTTATAATAATTTTATTTTTTAAAAAAGCTATAGTATTTTTAAGTTTAAAATTACTCTTTTTATGATTATTACTTTTATTTATAATATTATATAATTTAAAATTATTTTTTATAATAAATATTTGAAAAAAGTGACTCTCATGCAAAGCGAGGGCACCACTCTAGTATTACTATTATTAGCATGCAATTATTTTTCTCTTTCAATTTCTATTTTTACAATTCAAGTTTCATACGTATGCATGTATTACATTGTAATTTAATATTTAATAAAATTTTAAATTTATATGTATGTACGATTGCACATGTCACAAGACCATTATTCTTTCTTCAAAAAGTTAACTTGTTAGTGTGTAATTTGTTTATAAAATTTTCAAGATCCTCTAACTATTCAATATGGGATTCAAGTATATTATTACTTACTTCTCTAAAATATCAATATGATAAAATGTACAGTATTTAACTTATAAGTTTTTCAAATCTCTTTTACTTGCTCCTCTTACTCACTTGGAACATGATTAAAATATTGTGCTTACTTTTTTTGAAACAGTTGACGTGATGCACGAACATAATATCACAAATCTTACATCAATAAAAGATAAGAAGAGCTTTGGATTTATGTGCAAGAACTTTCTTCCTCTGCTTAATAAGAGCATGTTTGACTTAGCTTTTTTTTTTAAAACTTTTATAAAACTCTTATAAAAAATAATAGCTTTTAAAATTAAGTTAAAATTATTTGGTAAATTTACTTTTCATAAGTTATTTTTTATAGATAAGCTGTTTGCAAAATAATTTATATAAACTCTAATTTTGGTTAAAATTACCATAAAGGTTAATTAATATCTTATAGTTATTGGAGAATTGTTATTTGATTCATATAATGTGATGAAGCTAATTTAGTATTTTCTACATTAACCTAATATGTCTCTTTTATAAAGTTTGAAGTTTTTGTATGTGCTAAAATATTGTAACCATAAGGGATGAAGAAGAAAACAAAAATTATTCATACAGCATGACATCATGAAACTTATTATGGGGGTAATATTAGCTTATAACAAACTTAAAGATTAAAACATACACATAAAGCAATGGAATGGGTGGTTGATAGTTTAACCCTTATCAGTTGACTACAACCTAATTTGATGTATATTAGGTTAACCTGTTAATTTATGAGCACACAACGTTCTACCATAATGCATTGGCTTGGGAGTGCAGCTGTGTTAATGTTCTTGTGTCAATTCCTATCTCTCTAAATCAATTCCGTTAACAAGGAAATCAGATTATTAACATGAACAATTCACTACATATATAATGGCCGAAGATAGAGATGACCAAGTCTTATATGCCTTAGAAAAAGTACTATTATCATACCTATTTGACACGAATAAATTATTAACATGAACAAATCTATTTGACTTATTTCAATCATAATCAATAAATATTACATACATGAAAAAAAGTTAATAACAAATAAATATCACATAATTATCATATCAAATAATAAATTGAAAAATATCAAATAATAAAGAGAGTTTTCAAAACCTCAAAAAAAAAAGAATGATAAAAAATAAAATAAAAAATAAAACTAAAAAAAATAATACTTTAATGTAGTTTTGATTTTTTGGTTTTTGTTTCTTTTAATTTTTGTAAGAACAAAAAAAACCTGATTTGCAAAAAAAAAGAGAGGTGAAAGAGATCGATAGGGAGAAAATGAGGAGTATTTTTTTGAGAGAGGATTTTTGTGGGAAAAAATAACTCTCCTAATAAGCTGACGTATTTTTTTTAAAAAAAAAGAGAGAAGAGAAAGTTCCTAATTACAGCTTTTTTTAAACTTTTTTTCTTTATATTTTATTTTTTTAAAAAAATTATTTTTTAATAGCTTTTTACGAAATCTGTTTAATCCAGCTTCTACTTTTAAACAATAGATAAGTTAAATATAAGTCAAACCAAACAGACAATAAAAGTTAAATATTTTAAGTTAAAAATATAAATCTATTATAAGTTGTATCAGAACTTACTAAATTTTTCATTTACATCAATTAAAGTAAGTCTAAATCAAAATGTGTTTCTTTCTTCTGTAAGTGAAAAAGTCATACAATGAAAGCATTATACAATTAGATGAGATAAAATATTATTAATATCACATTAATAAAAGATGTAATGAGTCTTGGATATTTATATAAAAGTTTTATTTCACTTAATAAACATGTTTGTTAGTTGTAAATGTGAATTTATAATAAGTGGTATCAAAATTTACTCAAATTTTTACTAGTGTAAAATTCTTTTATGGGAGATACTGGAGTCGAGATAAACATGATTTTTAATTGTAAATATAGATCTATGATAAGTGATAGTAGAGCTTACTTAAACCTTTATTAATGTAAGATCCTTTCATAAAATATATTAGAGTCAACATAAGTGGTATCAGAACTTACAAATATATTTTTCAATTGTAATTGTCAATATATGATAAGTGGTATCAGAACCTACCCAAACCTTCGAACTCTTTCATGAAATATATTAGAGTCAAGATAAATGATATCAGAATCTACAAATATACTTTTCAATTGTAAATGTAAATATATGACAAATGGTATCAAAGCTTACCAAAACCTTCATTAATGTATAACTCTTTCATGAATTATATTAGAGTTGAGACAAGTGGTATCAGAATCTATTAAAATAGTGAAATCTTCTTATAAGAGATTCTAAAATTAATGTAAACATGAATTAAAGTGAATCTCTCTCTGTAATAAATGAAAGTACCAGTGCAATGAATTTTACATCATAAGAGATAAAATAAGATTTGACTTTATGAATTCAGATCTTTTTTCACCTAATAAGAATAACTTTTAGATGAAAAATGTGAGCTCAAACTAATAGTATCAAAGTCTAGTTTTAATTTTATGAATAAGGGCATTCTTCTATTTGATAGGTATGTCTTTTAAGCTAAAAATGTGAGCATATAACAAGTGGTATCAGAGTTTACTTAACTTTTTATTGACGTAGAACTCTCACTGGACAAATTATCACATAAAAAACTCATTGATCACATAAAAAACTCCAAATTAAATTTTACTAGATAAAGACAAACTCTTTTAAAATTCATTAAGTAGCATTAATAACCAAATTAAACTATTGCTTTTGTGTTTATTTGAATGAGACTTATTATGAGTTTGTTTTATTCTAAGCATTCACATATATTATTAATCACCATTAGAGTTGAACAACATAGAATATATAAGCTATGGATTGGTCAATAGTAATTTTATTTGAACTTTTGTTAGAATAAATCAAATTAATTAAATTTTGAATTTCGAAATGGAAGGTATATCACTCGTATCTGTCAACTTTATTACCTTTGCTCTGTACATGCATTTGTTTCATGAAAAAACACGTTGACATGTAGTAGAGTACATTCTGTCTACAACGTACTCAGTGACGTTACGCTTTTCACCTACCACATTTCTTATTTGGTAGATTCTATACTAAGGCAACCGAGTAAATGACATTATATTCAGGTCCATTTAGGGTGGATTTTCATATCTATGTAGATTGATTTGACAGATAAGATTCCAATTTTACATCTATTTACAGAGATATCAATTAATTTGCCTACTTATAAATTCGAAGCACTGTCACTGACTCTATTGCTCAGATAGAATAAAAATTCGATTAGGTTTTACAATACAGAGGGAGCTCCGGGGCAAGATTCCTATCGAAGATCAATACAAGGTCACTCTTCCATTTCTTCAATCTTATTTTCATTATCTCTGTTCAAAGTTATGTAATGAATATCATTTTGTGAGATTTCTCAATATGAATGCTGTTATTTAATTGCAAATTTAATTTCTAACATCTGTTACAATCAAGCTTTGTATTTTGATTTGTTGAAAATTTTGGTACTAGATTTTTTTATTCACCATTTACTCATAAGTATTGCCTCTTGATTTGTTGAAAATTTTGGTGCTAGATTTTCTTATTCACCATTTACTCTAACTACTACCTCTTAAATTATCTAGATATGTGTTAAGATATTTAACTGTTTATTTTTTCCTATTTGCAAATGATAAATTTTTAGAAGCAGATTTTCTTATTCACCATTTACTCATAACTATTATCTCTTAAATTATCTAGATATGTGTTAAGATATTCAACTGTTTATTTTTTCCTATTTGCAAATGACAAATTCTTAGAAGCATAGATTGAGTGAGAATTGATCATCCATTCTTATATTAAATGATGACTTGATGATTGAGATGTAACATATATAGGGTTTTTTTTAAATTTTGTAGTATTTTTTAATTAATTATTATGAATGAAAAGGTTTAGAAAGATCTATCATGTCTGTTTTACATCATCTGATAGGATAATAATCCATGTAATTATATAAAAAAGGGATCTATCAATTTCTTAACCAAATTGAATATACATATATATATATATATATATATTTATATATTGTATTCAAGTGTTGTGGACAATAGTCTTAGAGAAATGAAAGGATCTACTCATTGTTTGTAAAAGAATGATATCTATGTGCATTTTGGGTACCATGATTTTACTTTGTTGTAAAATAAAATTTTTAACAAAGAAGTACCATGTATGATGCAATATATTAATTTATTTTTTATGTCACGATGTTTGACCCTTAATAATTTCTTGATATATTGAAAACAAATTAAATTTCCCTACATTTCTTCTTTGATATTTTGTAGGTCAAGGTCAATATATGCAGTTCCAAATATAAATGTTTTGGGGTTTGAATTATAACAATTAGAATTTTTAGGATCAATGGGTTTTTCATCTAATTTTCCCCTAAGTTCTTTTTTTTTTTTTTATTTATGGAAGTCTTATTAGATATCAAACTCTTTGAGTAGTGTTCATCCATCTCTATTGAAACTTATATATATATATATATATATATATATATATTATTTCTTTTAAAGAGTAGTTTTTCCCCTTAGATTTTGTTCATTATCATAATAAACTTAAATCTTATTTTCTAATGTCATAACTCTTTAGAAAAATTGGTTTCTTAAACATTGTTGCTATTTTTCATGACAAACAATTCATTCACAAGGATCGAAATCGAAAGTAACAAAAATTTATAAAATAATAATTTAACTTAATTAACTTAAGTGTAAATAATAGAATAAAATTTAAATAATTCGAATATGTGTATATGTATATATGTGCACATGCTGCTGCTATATTTTTTGTTGTCACTTCATGCAACTAGAGAGTTTTAACATTTGTCAATCTTCCTTTGGCCAACTTCCCATCTCTCTCTCCGCCCCATCTTTTCCACGTTTTGGCTTTCTTGCATGCTTGTTGACATGTCTTTGATGAGTGAGTTTCGGTTTCTTAACCATAACCAGAGTTTGATACCCTCTGGACCTTGCATGTCTTCGTTTAAGGTTTAGGACACATAGTGTTATATATATATATATATATATATATATATATATATATAAGTATCCTTTCTCTTACTAGAATCCTTTAAATACCCTTTGCTTTCTAACATCAAAATCTACATTAATATATCCCGACATTGGTTCCTTTCAATTTCCTGTCAGCTGACAAAATCTTTTAAGCTTTTGTCTTTGCATATTTGTGTTTCCAATAGTTCCTGACAGTGGTGTTTAGGGTTCTCTTTCAGTGTGTCAAACATGCTGGCTGACCAAGAGTTGAAAAGCATGGAGGGATTCAAGAAAGGATCCAATTACATTGAGGTTAAGGTTGGCTGCACAAGCAAGAAATATGGTGATACCGTAGGGAAGCTTAGGGTTTTCTCTAATGGCCGATTTCTCATATCCTGTGAATGCACACCGACTTGTGGAGGTAAATCACTATTATTTCCTTCTTCTTTTTCTTTTTTCCCTGTGTTATTAATGAATGACTACAGAGTTCTTTAATTTTGTTTCTTAATGCAACTTCATGTTTTCACCACGTTGATGTTCATTTATTCAATTGTGTGTTCATTTATATTTTATACATGAAACTGATCATTGGCAGACCTATAGGATCTTTGTGTAATAACTTTCATTGGTGAAGTCCTTGCATTGCATGTACTAAATGGTTCACCTATATCTGTCAATGTCATGCAGCTTTTAACATATATAGTACAAGACATGCTGCAAAAGATTCTCTATACTTTTCATGAAATTGAATTTCTCAAAATCATAGCTGTTAATCAATGGAAAAATCCCATGATTCTTTCTTTCTTTTTGTTTTCTACTCTATAGTATTGAAGCAAGTTAATTACTTTAAGCCTGATTGATTAGAACTTGGAGATTAACCAGAGCTTCAAGTTGTAGTTTCTTTGTTCTTTTCTATACAAAATTGTGCATTAATTTAGTACTTGAGTGGTTGAGTTGCACCTCTACCCCATGTCTTTTTGTCTAACCAATGGATGGCAACTCTTGATAAGAAGACAAACTGAGTCCCTATGACTTCGGAAAGCATTCTGGAAAAGAAGGAACAAGGAAATGGAAGAACCAGATTTGGGTGGTCCGGAACGACAAGAAGGTTCCTTGTGCAGAACTGTTCTCCTGAAATATTACAAGCATGCTTCAAATGGAGCAAGTGGGTTGCAACCTAAGCGCCTTTGTCATCGCGATGAGTTCATTAGTTGCTCAAAGTGTAAGAAAGAACGCAGGTTTCGTCTCCGGACTAAAGAGGAATGCAGGAATTACCATGATGCTTTGATTACCAGAAGGTGGAGTTGTGAGAACTGGCCATATGACAAGTAAGTTCCAGCGTCAGTTGTGGTCTAAATTAGAAAGAAAACTATAAACAATTTTTAATGTCATAATTAAAATCTGATCTTGTAGAGTATTTTATCTAAATAAGTTTGATGAATGAATCCATTTTTCTGCAATTTGTTTTCATAGCATTAGTTTTATCTGTCAGAAAGAGTCAGAAAAGAGACATAACATGCATAAACGCCTACTGCAAGGCCCTGGACCTGTTCATTTTTCTGTCATATCATTCCTGTTGGTGTAAGTTACTTTATCGGCCATGTAGCTCTAGTATGGCCAGGATATAATAGCAGGCATGATCTTGGTTCTGCTCTTGTATGATACTAATATTAGATTTCTTTCTTATTACTTGATAGATTAAAAGGAAACTAGGCTTCTAAATGATTTGCAGCATACCTGTCATGGCTATGATTTGATCAGCCACTTTAGCATTGTAGATTTACTGGTTTATTTTTAACTGAACAAAACATAGTGTCATAGTGAAAATCCACCAGAAAACTTCTTTAACTCTCTTGAGTCTTTTATATAGAGAAGGATTTTGTTTTATTAACTTAAAACCTTTTAGTCTCAAATAGATATCAGTGACCTGTAGCTGGTTTTCTGCTGCCAAATTGACTGAAACTTGATAGAAAATGTATATCCCAAAGTAATTTGATTGAGCTTTACCTTGTCATTTTGCTAGCCAATATCAGAGTGGCCCATAATGAGGGCTTGTTTAACTGTCTTGTTTTGTTCATTTTCTCTATGACAAGGTAGAGTTTTAAGAGGTAACCAAACTTTGCTTGCCTAAATGTTTTCTGATGTTTAAGAGTTGACACTGAAGCATCAACCATGTTACATTTCCCTCTTATACATGAACAATTACAGGAAATCAATATACGTTCTATCTGTAACTTCTGACCATTCTGTTTAGTATATTATAGTTTAGAGTTAATATCTAAATATGAACCCAAAACATATCACATAGTCCATTTCCAGTCAGCCAAATTGCTAATAGCTTTGCATTTGTTGGTTCAATTGCTTTCAGGATCAACTGCCAAACTGTGGAAGAGCGGGCAGGTCGGAAACGCAGCAGAGGCTGCCCTCAATCTCCAATCTGCCAAGGTTGCACTACTTGTGTGTGTTTCGGGTGCCTAAGCTGCCGCTTTCTGGATTGCAAGTGCCGCACTTGCGTTGATTTCATGAAAAATGCAGAGCCTTGAGCTTGGAAAACATCCTTTCATGCTTTTATCAAACTTTCATTTCAGAAGCAGCAAAGGCAAAAAAGACTATTTAGAGTTCTTTGAAGTTCTATTGGGATGTTTGTTTTAGGATTATAATGACTTTGCTGTTCTAAATGTTTTCTTTAGAATAATTCTTACATCTTAGCAGGCTGGACTAAGGTTTTACTTTGCTAGTGGGCAATGCTATGAATTGGCACTCTAGTCCCACCTCAGTTTAAAGACATTTTTAGCTTCTGTTGCTAATAAAGTAGTTTCCTTTGCTGCAGCTTGTTTCTTTATGTTGCTACAAGTTTGATTTTAGATCTTTTTCCTAGCTTTCTTTTCTGTCTTGACTCTGGCATTAGCCAGAACGCAGCTGGAATAACTGTCAGTAGTTGCACCTGCAACTAAAAACAGATGTACAGTGTCATGGTCCCTAGAAAGAGCCGTGAATTACAATCAGTTGTGTATTAGAGCACAACAGGGTATTTAAGTGCTCCAGCATCTTCAACTTTTGAGATATTTTTTGTGGGATAAATCTGTGAAGCTATAGGTCCAAACGGACGATACCTTTTCAAGTTGGTGTGGATCGTGACATAGAACATGTACAGTTTGCTCATTGGATCAATCATCAAATACTTTCTCTGATTCCTTGAGAGTTGATCGGGGCTGCCTTCCCCTCTTTTCCTAATGACAAATTGCAACTGGAGAGTTTTTCAGTAGTGATTCTAGAGTGTTTAGGACACAGATTCAGCAATGCTTTTGGTAGAAAGTTGGAAAAACTTTTAGGTTGAGCTATCCAACCAATCTTTCATTGCGTGGTTTTGAATAAAACCTCTCATCATTCCACTTTTACTGATTCCATCTCTTATCATTGATGCTAAATTGAATTAAATTTTGACCTACTGGTTGGTTTGGTCTGCAAGAATATTATTTGATAAACAGCCAATCTATTAAAGCCAAAGCTCTTTCTTTCAAAGCTGTATCCCCAATGATCCATTTTTGACATACACGTGACCGCACACAAACAACTGAAATTGAACAATTAAGGCACATGACAACTGTCCTTAAGCTTTCCACTATACATCTGTGGTTAGCACACCCAACCATTACATTTAGCATCATTCAAAATTCAAAAAATCTTTATATTTGGTTCCTTGTATGTTTACCAGAGAACACCAAAGACGAAACCTACCAACAGGACCACAGCAATTCATGACCATGAACATCAAAATTAAAGCAAAGAGATGTCTTAATCAAGCAGGTGAGAAATCCAGAAAAGAAGAGTATGGTTGGATGCAGCCGCTACTGCAATGTACATTGCATAGATATTGAGTTTGTCACAAAATGTAATTGCAAGAAATCAAGGCTTTTCTGTCAATTGTATCATACACACATGGAGGGGAAATATGTATATTTGCACCAAAGATGAAGGGTTTATATACAAAACATACACGATACAACAGAGAACCATACGGCCTAGGAAAAACAATACAAAATACAAGTTTTAACTTGGAGTCTGCTTATGGAAATACATGGCTTTCGATCTCTTAGGATTTTCTAGATTGTTTACCTCAGCTTTAATATGCTGCTTGGTACAAGTAGAATTTCTGACGGAAAACTGCTACAGCTACATGATGGACCAATGAGTCCCACAATCAGGCACCGTTTTGGCCATCAACAGATACAAAATTGTGCTTCAGCTAAGAAAGAATTGAGTACTTCTAACTCTGATCTAACTCTGATGAAGTCATTACTCTTGAAGTCAATGGATAAACTACCAGGCTAGATTATGCACAGAACCATGCACCAGAGAAGACACTATCCTTCCAGCCTTCCTCTCACGGAGCACTAGTATGCATCAAGAGTTCATGCTAAAAAGATACACAATGCAATGACACCAATAGCATGCTTAGACTTTACTTTGCTGTGGGGTATATATGCGATTCCTGCCCCTACCCTCCTCGCATTAGCAATGCTAGTAACCAAGGAGTTACCTATGTTTCCAAGGGCATTAGCTCCCATAAGCTTTAGTCCAAGATTATTTATCAAATAGACCAACTTACTTTCATTTTCTCCGTCACCAGCTCTAGCTTATGTGCCTGCTCACAAGATATTGTAGTGTAAAGTTGCAAGGGTTGATTTGGTAGGGGTCCACTGCTGCTTTCCAAAACCCTTCTCATATCAGCTTTGCAATTATCAAAAGTAACTCTCAAAAGCCCCAATGAATTAGCGTCTTCTGTTAATGGATTGAATACAAATGAGAAGTTTCCAAAGGCTAGATCAGGCCTCTTGAACAGCTCCACCAATACCTTGCTGCTTGTTCCAACATTCTGCTGCACAGACCTCCTAATATTATTTTGGCGACCTGTTGTGGCTCGGAGAATACGCGAAGCTTCCCTTAAGCCACTCAAATAGGCACCATGCATGGTGGCAGGATATTGCCTAGTTGTGGCTTCACCAGCAAAGACAACCTGTTCCCCACACTTTCTGCAAGTATATCATAATCTCCACCGAGGACTGTACTCTAACGTGAGAGTACGAACCATAAGAAAGGGGTCATTCCCCATCTTGTACAAATTGTTTGTATGGGGTCAGGCACATCTACACCTTTTGGACCATATATACCTGCAAGAAAATAATAGATTATTAGGCTTGTTTCCAAATGATGATAGTGGACAAATACCTAGAGCACAAGCATGAAGGGAGCAAGAAATTCGTTGACAAGTGTCATAAGTTCTAGGAAAAATATATGGAACCTCTAAGTTTCCTTAAAACACGATGGAGCAAGAGTGAAGGATCAGTGCGTTCAAATGTTTGTGCAGCTTCACCAGCCACCAGCGCAATCAACACTGGACCTCCAGAAACGGTATGGTAGCTGTAGAATAAAAAAAACTCCCCACGATTATTGCTGGTATCGTTGAGACATCCAAATGTATCTAGGTCTTCTCCCCAAAATACATGGGGGAAAACCATGGCAACTTTATTCAGGAGCCCGAAACCCAGTCTCTCAATTGCTGCTAGCTTTCTTTGAGGTAACTCAGGTTCAAATCTAATGGTCTTTCTCTTCAAAACTCCAAGAGGCACAGTGCAAAGAACCATATCTGCTTGGAATGCTTGATCACCAGCAACAACCTCAACCCCTTCATTCCCGTATCTAATAGCATCAACGGTTTTCCCATAGATTATGGGAATTCCTTCACATAATGCTTTTATCAATCTCCAATTCCCTCCAGCAAGAAAACAATGGTCTCCACCCATCTCATAAGGATCATCCTGGTCCCAGTAGGCAGCTGACAAGTCAGAAAGACATCCTGCATTTGCATATTCCAAATTAGCAAGATGCCATTCAAGAAGTTTTCTCTCCTCTTCACTTCTAGCCACAGCATACAACTGCCTGAGCTTTCCCAGAACTGATCCCAGAGAAATATGATTTGCAAATCCACCCATTATTTGTCTCAATTCCATGACTTTGTCGAGCAACTTGTTAAAGATCATTTCAATCCTGGAGTCAATTTCCTTATTAACAGGCATGCCATCAGGTCTGTACAAAGGGCAATTATCTCGTACCTTATGAAGTGGAATAGAAAGTTGCCTAGCCAGAACTCCAAGAGGATTGGCATGGATACCAGTGATTACACTGCCACCAAGATCCACAGCAGCATGTTTATCCTTCTTACCCATCTTTTGAGTATAAACTCTTCCGCCAGGTCGATTCCTCCCTTCCAAGATAACAACCTTAAAACCAAATGACAACAGCTGCCTTGCCGCTGCCAAGCCAGCAAGTCCAGCTCCAACTATTATCACAGAACCCTCATTTGCCTCCTCTGACATGTAAGAGGAAAATGCTGGTGATACTCCAAAATTAATATAGCCATTATACAGAAGAAAGTCATAAGCTGCGGACATCAAATGTTCATATTCATTACTCACAGTTTCTTTTATCTGTCCCTTCAATAACCACATATGTACATTACTCCTCCACAGAGTAAGGATATGATTCCTAACAACAATATAATCATTCTGCTCCTTTCCACCTAATTCTCTTACAACCCCTGCTTTAATTTCCTCCTCAAGCAACGCATCAATGGGGAACCCCAAAGATAATGCTATCATAGCCTCAGTTTCAGTTTCTTTCTCCAACTCCTCCTTTGTTCTATTCTTTTTCCTAAATGAACCACCTATATGCTTCTCTATAAACTCATCCATTAAATTCTCATCATAATTCTTCAAACCAGCTTTCTTCCTCAACGACCTCTTCGATACCAATCCTTCCGAAACCGGTGTCTCCATTATTACTTTCTCCAACAAAATCAACTTCTGAAAGTCTTTCCAAAACCATGAAAATTCCTAATCCGCCAAAACCACAAAACCAACTTCCATTTTATACACAATCCAATATAAAGGCATTTCCTCGTCCCTGCAATTCCATTGAACTAAATGAATTTCTCATCCCAATCAAACCAAATGGATTTCTAATCTTTTCACAGTTCTATGGAAAAACCCATAAAGAAACTGCCTGGTTATCTCCAAAATTTCCATCTTTCTAAATAACTTGAAATTAGAGAATCACTAAACGGAAAGATTCACAAAGATTCAACTTTAACAACAAAAACCAATTACCTTTCTGATCGTATACAATAAAAAGAAATCAGCAATTGTTACAAAAAAAGGAAACAAAAACTACATCAAAATTAGAGCCTTGAACACTGAATTTTATGCATAAAAACTCGAGCTAAAAACTGGAGTACAAAAAGTGAATGCAATAGAATGCTGAGGAGGTGAGAGAAAAGTGGTGACTCACCTTTTCGGGGGGCGAGTCGACTCTTGAATTTGGGGAATTTCAGGCCGTTCGTGGAAGCCTTTTTAGGGTTTTTCTTCAGGTGAAAGACCTCGAGAAGTGTGGAAAGAAAACGTTGAAATTTTTAGAAATTGGATTGGAGGGAATTGGGAACGGGGAAGTTGGGTTGGGCCTGAATGGGTCTAAACTGTTATCATAATGGGCCCATTATTCATTAATGATATTATTATAATAAAATAAACAAATTTAACTTAGTAATTAAGATATTAGTAAATCTTTAAATTAAATATTCAAGTCTCATCATTTACAAGATTTTTTTAAAAATATTAAAGTA